CTGGCTCTGTGTCTCTGCCCCCGAGACATGGGGCCAAGCACTTTGCCCACCTTGTCACAACTCTCTGGGAGTCTTACCCCTGCTGTCCCATTTCCCAGAGGAAGTGACAGGCTCGTGGAGATTAGGTAACTTGCGGAGGGTCACAGCTGGTGATTAGCTTGGCTGGGATTTGAACTCTGAGTGGTTGACCCGAACCTTGAGCTCTTAAGCACATTTTACTGCTCCTCGAGGTAGAAATAACATGAGTGATCTCTTGTATCTGCAAAGTGCTTGGTGATTAACAAAGAGCTTTAGGTTTATTAGTATTCATTTTCTCCTTCCATCCTTACAACAGCCTTAGGTAAGGTAGACAGATATGGTCATCCCACTTTAGAGACTGGAAATAGGTTCATCAAAGTGTGCTGATGTGTGTGATGCCCACAGCAGCGTGTGGCTGAGCCAGGCCAGGACCCAGCTCCCCCCGCCCCAGATCTCTTGCTGTTGTTTCCCTTAGTTCACTAAGATCTGTAATTGCCAGGGAGGAGAGCAAGAGTCTGGCCCACCTCCTCTTGTGGTTCTCCCTCTTTGCTATTTAATTTCTCCCCTTGCAACCCGTCCCCTTACCTGACCCCGTCTCTCGCTCTCTCGCTCTCCCCGGCTGTCTCCGTTTCGCCCGGCTGGCCTCCTGCCTCTTCCTCTGCCTGTCCTGGGCCTTCCCACAGAGCGGCGCTGCTTCTTCACCCCCAGCTTCTGCAGTTCTTTGCCCCCAGCTCCTGTCAGCTCATCAGTGAGATCTTCCCTGACCACCCATGTAAAACAGCACTCTTGATCCCTATCCACTTATGCTATTTCTTTTTTTATCACGTATCACCGCCTATTTTATGTTTCTTTCACTTTTTAAAATGTGCCTCCCTCTCTAGAATGTATGCTCCTTGAGGGCAGGGATTCATCTCTTTTGTTCATTTACTATAACTCCCCCTTTGCATGTACTTAATGGACACCTAAAAAAAACATCTCCTGTTTATAGGAAGGATGTGGTGCCATGTCGTCATCCCTGAGCTGTACCCAGGATTTCTCCCCACTCCAGGGTGAGCCTCGGGCAAACGCCATGGGGGCCTATGTTGCTGTTGTCTTCACATATACCTGTGTGGTTTACTGGCGTGCACTCCTCCCTTTCCCCATCACTGCCTTGCAAGGATGCTTTATAAATGTATTGGTGGCTGCATGATGTCACCGTAATGCATTTTGGGAACAGCCATGTGGTTTATACACACTTGAGTTGCTTTGAATGCAAACCTGACATCATACTGAAGGCAGCAGCGAACAACATATGCACAATAAACAGGCAGAGACTGTCTTATTGATTAACAGATGAGGCCTCTGTTATCGATCAAAGCTTGGCGAAGAAATTTATCACTTTTAATTTCAGGGATGCCAAATATTTCTGCCTCTGAGCCAGCTATTATAGAGACAAATTAAAGGCACATGCCTCCCTGAGAGAGGGTGGTTTCTGCCCCCTCTCTGCTGGCTTTTGTGTCCTGAAACTGCCTGTCTTTGCTGTTGGGCTCACCCTGGGGTGAGTTTGATTTGGGGTGGGGGTGTCGTGAGCTTCATGAATGGGAGCTGATGCCCATGGTACCCATGTGTGAGAAGGTTCTGATCCGAGTGACTGAGGACAGGGGACTTACTTCACGCACTCAGCTCAAGGTCGCGACTTCAGCAAGGCGAGCGTGGAGTGAGGGGAGGACTTTGAGGACAACAAGATGTGGTTGGGCTTGGGCCAAGCCAGCGACCTTGCCTAGATAGAGTGTGTTAACCTGTTTTATCTTCGTTTGAACTTGCCTGGTGGCATGCATCCGGCCCTTTATTTCCTGCCTGCCCCGCTTCCTTTCTCTCTGCGCCTCAGTCATTAAAGCAGACACTGAGACAGCCACGTCCATGGTTGTGCTCTAAGAACTCTTCCTGCCACATCCCTTTGAGGCTGAGCTACTGGGGCCTCCTCGCCCCACGGTAGTAGGGCAGCGGTAGCGAGTCCCGGGGCGCCCTCCCCTTTCAGTCCCCACTTTCCTGTTCGGGCCTCCCTTCTCCTTTCTTCTTTGGTGAGTCATGAGAACTGATGGAACCAAAGAAAGAAATACAATGAAAATAAGATCCCTTACAGATCTGCAGAAAATCATTGCTGGCTAATGATTTAGGGCTGGGGGGAGTGTCTCTTTGTGAAGGGCTGGGCCTCACCCACCTTGGTCTTCCCTCTCTGGCCTTGTCTGCTCTTTGAGGCTCAGGCTGCATTTCCAGGGGTTCTGGCTGCCACCTGTATGCCACCTGTGTGCCTGCTTGAACATGGAGTTTCTTGGCCTTCTTCAAAGCTCCATTAGCCACTTTTAGGTCCTTGGGCCCAGAGAGGCCCTGCAACTTGAAGGGAAACCCAGAGGGATCATGCTGTTTTCCCTGCCTCCAGGCAGAATTCAGCTGCAGCCACCTAAAACAAATTACAGTGTTTGCTTTCAGAGCACTTAAGGAGAAGTGATTTCATATCTTTCCTGGGGCATTTTCGCACTCATTCAGTCAGTCAGTCAACTAATGTCTAGAGCTCCTGCTAACCCACTGAAGGTATATCCTGCTCATCATTAGAAATATAAGACAAGGCCAGTGCCCTCATAGGCCCTGACATTCTGGATCTCCTCTAGGATCCTCATACCCTTCTCTGGCAAGAACTGTGTATTGGTGTTTAATTCCAGAATGGTACAACTTATATTCTGAGTTCCAGCCCTTAAGGATGTGCTAATACTCCAAAGCAGAGGTTTTAAAATTTAAAAAAGTAGTGGAACCATTTTTCCAAAGAGAATTTTACACAAAACCTTGATGTATACAAGGGGTAAATTGGATTTTCAGTTTTTTGATTTGAGAGAAGGAAGCCTGGAACTCACCTTCTTATCCATGAAACATCTTTGCAGATGGAACCCGAGGGAGGCTGAAGGGTATAGGCATGAAGAGCCAGGGCTCTGATGTCAAGCTGTCTGTCTTTGAATCCACCTCTACTGTTAACCACCTGTGACAGTGGACAAACTACTTATAACCTGTCTGAGTTTGAGTTTTCTCATACACGGAACGGGGGCACTAATAGTTTGTACATTAGAAGATCTTTAGAATCAAATAAAAATGATATATCCTAAATACTCGGCATCCCGTAGTATCTGATAAAGCCCCAGGAAATCTGAGATACTTTGGAAACAGCACTAGACTGTTTTCTACTCTAATATGTGTAAGAAGTAATTCTGCCTCTTATGAACTCTGATATGAAACTAAAACGCAGACATACTTAAAGAAGTGCTAAGACATGTTGAAAGGAATAAAGTGCAGCTGCAGGTTGGGAAGGGCGGAGCAATGAGGGGCTGGAGTGCTTGGTGCATGCATACTCCAGTTTTGAAAATAGAATGGGACTGGAATAGACGGAGGAATGAGACCAGGCATTACTCAAGTCCAGAGATTCAGGGAGGGTCGAGTGGCACTCACAGAGGGCCAGTGAGGACAACTCCCGATGGAGCTGGACTGCTAACTGGATCAGGTTGTGGAGGGCCTTGAAGCTAAGTAGAGGCATTTAGAATCAGTGCAAACTGTGAGCCGTGGTATCATCTTGAGCAAGGAAGTTGTGAGGAATCAAGTGGCCTTCAAGGCACCTGCATCTGTTCGTTGGATCAGAGGGCCGCTGGTGGTGTGGCAACCATCCTTGAGTTTTCCAGTGTCCTAGGCATAACCCTACAAGAGCCTGGATAGGGACAAAGATTTTTGACATGCAGTGGAAGAGATCCATCTAGAGACATTTTGAAAGAAAACCTCCAAGGCTTACAACAGGTCCTCCCTGGACGAGATAACATATTAGAGCCCTGAAGACTATTAGCAAGTGGCAGAAAGTCCTGTTTATCTTGACATTGTGACATTGTCGCTTTGAGTCTTGTAAATAATGGTTCTAAAAATTTTTATCAAGTTGAATTACCCTGAATTGATTTAGTTTATTCCCCAAATATGTACAGTAATAGGTCCCCACTGGGAGTCAGACAGATGAAGCTGTGCATGCGATGACATTCTCTTCATACTGCCCCCCTCTGGAGCTTACCGTGTGCCTGGAGGTGGAGACAGGTCTGCAGGCATTTATAAGAGAACATGGTGATGCTATGGCCAGGAGGAATGTACACAGTGCTATGCGAGCAAAAAGAAGGGCTCTTTCCCGCAGGGCAATGGGACAAGGGCAAGGAAGCTGATGCGTAAATGGCGAATAGAGGCTGGCCATAATGTGGACCAGGGAGAGGGGCAAGAGTGTCGGAGACAGAGGAGGCCCAGGAGGATGTGGAGAGAGACCTTGCAGTGCTGAAGGACATGGGTCCTACAGGGAACCAGAGCAGCTCAGGAGGCCTGGCAACTAGGGAGCAAGAGTGAGGAAGGAGAGACAAAGCAGGAAGATAAGCACCTCTGGAATCACTTTGTGAGACACTGAGGAGTGTGAACTTGACCCTGAAGGCGCTATGGAGCCATTCAGGTTTTTTCAGTGGTCGGCAGTGGAGGGTGGCTGGGGTAAACTGTGGGTTCAGTTTTAGACACACAGAGTTAGGGTTTTATCCAAACAGCCATATGTCAGTCATTTCTACTTTCCCATAAAGTATAATCTGTGCGACAGCACACGTTTCCCCTAGTTGTACTATCCCGCACCTGGAGCCAGCCCCGAGTCCCCTTCTTACTGTGGCATCTCATCTGGAGTCCACATATGCTTGTCTTGGTTATTCTGATTTTGTTTCCTTTTCTTCAGGGAGGGCCCTAGAGGGGTGCATTTGGAGTTCATTTGGGTGGGTAGTCACACCTTGGAGGAGAGTCTGGGCCGGCTGCTGGGGCCGTGGATTCTCCTTGAGTCCCTTCATAGGAGTTTGCCCCCTTTCCCCAGTGTGCACCTGCATAATTTTGGCCCAGGACCCTACCTCTTAATGGAATATCACTCTTGGAAATAAGTAACCACCTTCCCTTTGTTTCAGCGGGTGCCAAAGCCTTTGTCTGTGATCAGTGCGGTGCCCAGTTTTCGAAGGAGGATGCCCTGGAGACGCATAGACAGACCCATACCGGTGAGTTGACTTTGATTCCCATTCTCTAGGTCCTCCACAGTGTGGCAGCCCACGGATAGGAGGTAGGTCAGTAGCACCCCCTTTCAACAAAATGATACCCAGTGACTTCTGGGGGCTGTGAGTGGGGATGGCTGTGCCAGGTTCAGGTACTCTTGCATGTGGAGCTGGCTAGGCAGGTGTGACTTTGCCCCATAAGCACAGCTGCCCTGGATTAGGCCAAGATCTCTGTCTCTAATAGGCCACTGAGGTCCCATCTTTGCCGAGACCTCTCTTAACTCTTACTGACGCCTTAGAAAGTTGTAATGTTGTCTAAGCATCCCCTTCCCTCTGATGGGTCAGAAACCTCCTGTATCCCCTATGACTAACTCTGAAACCCTTGTGTAGCCACAGTGGGCTGCTCCTCCCTCTTCGAGGGCAGAGTCATTGTTCAAAAGCAAGCAGTCTGCATGCAGGGTGCCTTTGAACAATATTAGCAAACAACAGGATCACTCTATTTGATTTCTGAGCCTTGATTTCACAGCATCATCATTGTAATCAGCTTCATCATCATCATCATGGATGCACCTCATCCTGCCTGCTCATGATGTGCCAGGCACCGTTCCCAGTGTTGTCCTGAGGGCATTTGGCCCACCTTTTAGTAAACTCTGCCAGCTTGGAGGCTACTCCTGGGGCATAGATGAAGAACCTGAGGCTCAAAGCAGGGGAAAGAGAGTTGCTTGAGTGAGTGGTGGGGATGGGAGTGGTACAGCTTAGCCTGCCTAGGTTTAGTCTTGGCTCTGCCACTTACTATTTGAGGGACTGTGGATAAGTTACTTAAACTGTCTTAATTTGGGTTTTCTCATGTTAGAAAAGTGGAGTTATAATAGTGCCTACCTCATAGCATAGAGCATTGTGGGAATTAAATAAGATATTTTATTTAAAGTGCTTTGCAGAGTGTTTGGCTCACAGTAAGCATTCACTACACAGTAGTAGATGTATTTAATTTAATAAGTATTTATTGCGTTTCTACAATGTTGCCGGCACTGGTGGGCCATTTAAAGTGTAGTAACATATGAGACAGATAGGATTTCTCATGGAACCATGATTCTAATAGGAAGAGAGTATAGGCAAATAAGTATATAATATCATGCCAGGTTATAAGTGCTAGTAAGAACAAATAAAGCAGGATAAGGGGTAGAGAGTGATAGAGAGAAAAGTGGTATTTTAGATCAAATGACCAGGGAAGGTGACATCGTAGAGTTCTAAAGTGAGGGAGGGAGCCATAAAAAGTTTTCAAATATTTGCAAATCATACATCTGCTAAGGGACTGGTAGTTATAAAATACAAAGAAATCTTACAACTAGATATTTCTTCAAAAATAGACAGATAGTGATGGTTGATACCATGAGCCATCAGGAAATACAAACCAAAATCACAGTGAGGTGCTGCTTCACACCCTTTGGGATGTGGCTATAATAAAAATACCAACAATGAGAAGTGTTGGCGAGGATATGAAAAATCGGAACCCCCACACACCGCTGGTAGAAATATTAAATGTTGCAGGCACTTTGGAAAACAGTCTGTCGGTTCCTCAAACAGTTAAACAGAGTTACCGTGTGACAGAGCAATGCCTCTCCTAGGTATGCACCCAAGAGAAATGGAAACATACATCTACACATGCATTTTTATAGTAGCATTATTCATAATAGTCAAAAGTTTGGTAGAGATAACCCAATGCATACCCACCGAGAAATGAATGAACAAAGCGTAGTTTCTCCATAAAAAAGGAATGAAGTACTGATACATTTTACGGCATAAATGAACCTTAAAAACGTTATGCTGTGTGAAAGAGGCCAGACCCAAAAGGTCACATGGTGTATGATTTCATTTATATGAAGTATCCAGAATAGGCAAGTCCATTAAGACAGAAAGTAAGTAGTAAGTGCCAGGAGCTGGAGGGGTTGGGGGCAAATTGGGGTGGTGACTAATAGGCATGGGCGTTTTTTTCAAGTGATGAAAATGTTCTAAAATTGGTTATGGTGGTGCACAACTCTGAATATATTAGAAACTATTAAACTGTATATAGTCACTCTTACCAACAAGGGTTTGAACTATGCTGGTCCACTTATATGCCGATTTTTTTCAGTAAATATCTGTACTGATCTATGGTTGGGAGTTTGCGGATGTGAAGAGCTGAGCTAACTGTGTGCATTGATCTATGCCATTTTATACAGGGACTTGAGGATTCACGGATTTTGGTATCTGTGGGAGGTCATGGAATGAATCCTCTGTGGATACTGAGGGACAACTAAGGTTTTGGCAAGTCAAAACTTACACACCGATTTTCAACTGCATGGGAGGTCAGCTCTCCTAATTCCCACATTGGTCAAAGGTTAACTATTTTAAAAATATGAATTGTATATTGGATGGTACATAAATTCTATCTGAGTAAAGCTGCGTACACACACGCACACCACGTGCATGTGCACATTTATAGAGAAGGGGGAAAGTAGTGCATTATAGGGGTTTGAGTGGGAGAATGATATGGCTTAATTTATGTATTTAAAAGATCACCCTGGCTTCTGTGTTGATAAATGACCACAGAGTGTTTCATTTATTCATTGCTGTGCAACGGTTGATTGAAATGGCACTGTCATTATCTCAGGCGGTTCTGTGGGTTGACTATACTCAGCTGGGCAGTTTTCACTTGGGGTCTCTCCTGGGGTTGCAGTCAGGTAGTGTCATCCGCGGACTCGCCCGGGCTGGATGTCCAGGACGGCTTCCTCGCTCCTTGTCGGACTCTCGGGGCTCCTCCTCTCTGCAGCAGAACAGCCTGGACTTCTCACGTGACAGTGCTGGGCTCCAAGAATCAGGAAGCAGAAGCTGCCAGCCCTCTTAAAAGCTGGGCTTGGAACATACAGCATCACCCTGCCATATGTGATTGGTCAAAACAGGCACAGATCAGCCCCAGATTCTGGGGTGCATGATTAGACTCCCCTTCTCAGAAGGAATGACAAACATATAAGAGGAATTGATGGCAGTCATCTTTAGAGTCAAGTGACTAAGCTACCACAGGGGACTGCAGTGGAAGAAGGAAGACATAGCAGCGACTGCTATTATAATTATCGTCGCCAGTGTTTCCTTGTTCTGCCACCTCATGAAACCTGCCTCTCCTGAGTGGAAAACACACCTTCTAGGGCTGATACCATGGTCTTTGGACTGGCGCTGCCCTGGCCTGTGGCAGGGAGGAGAGAGCTTTCTAGGTGAGCTGTAATTCCTGTCTGCACCTCCCTGGATCCGTTATAGAGAAAGCGACTTGCCAGGTGATTTTGCTTAGGGTTCCAGAGCTCCAAAGCTGGGTATCTTAGAAGTCAGGGAAGAGCCAGGTCTCCCAAGGTCCCAGCCAGTTTCTTATTGCTAGACTACCTGTAACTGAGAATCCCACTCTGAGAATTCCAATCTGGGGACTGAGGAGACTGAGCTGTGGGCTAGCTTTGCCAAGAAGCTTATTTCCATTTATCCAGATTCAGTTTGCAGCAGCAGGGAGCAAGCTGCCCGCTCAGCCAGGGCTGGGAGAAGAGGCATAGTCGCTGCCTGCCAGGTGAGCAAAGGGGGACGTTGTTCATGAGCAGACTCCACACACTTACTGAGCACCTTCTGTGGGTCTGGCACTCACTAGTGATATGGGAGTGATCGACATAGACCCACTTCCTGCCCTCCCCGCCCCACCAAACTGCTTTCTTAAGATATAATTTACATATCATACAGTTCACCTGTTTAAAGTGTACAGTTAATGATTTTAGTATATCATGCTATTAAGTGTTAAAACTCTGGAAAATAATACAAAATTTTCCATTTTAACCACTTTTAACTCTACAGTTTAGTGGTATTTATGACTTGCCAGCTGTCTAGAGAATTTGGGTATTGTTTCAGCTTTGAAAACCAGATTGTGTCTTAGGACCAGTGATTGTCTAGGATGTATTAAGTCAGTGAGAACTTGAAAGTCATCAGCACTTTCCAGGAAAGGGTATTTGTTTCAAATATGATTGGAGAGAGCCTGGAGTTTGAGTCAGGAGCCTGGGAGTGGGACTCTAACTCCGTTATCTCATAGGTGAATAACCTTGACTTGTTCCCTGTCCTTTCTGCCCTTCAAGTCTCCTCACCTGCAAAAGGAATAGAGCGCTGCTTCCTCCCCAGTGCAGGTGGGGCCCAGTCCATTCAGCCTTACTTTTGGTTTATCTCCAGGTGGAGTTCATGAAGCTCTTGAAAGAGGTGAGGAATGGAAAAACTGGATCCAAATTAAGAATGGGAGATCAAGGAGGACACTGAGAAAGACTTCCTCCCTCCCTGGGTGTGAGCTGTGGACAAGCTCCCCCAGCCCCGAGGAGCACCTTCCAGTGCAGGCAGGCTGGGCTCTACTGGGAGAGATGCAGCAGCAGCAGCAGCAGCAGCCTCATCCTCAGTGTAGGGTCAGCAACCAAGTGGCTCTTCCTGACACATGGCAGAGCTCATTTATCACTTATCGTGCCATTTCCAATGGAAGCCAGGTAGAGCCTCAGACTTCTCTAATAACCACTGGGAGAAGACAACTTGAAATCTAGTTGTCATCTTTGTTCTAAAAAGGAGCTGCCTGACGAAGGGAGAGGCCTGATTGTAAGGAATGAGGAAATAACACTAAAGTAATTGGGCTGGGAGAAGCCAGTGGGCTGCCAGCTATTGTTGGAGAGCCAGTAGGAGAACAGGGAGACAGAAGTAGAAAGGAAGAGGAATGGAGACCCTGGGAGAGTAAAGTAATGGTAATGCCATCTTATATTTCTGATACCTTAGTTTATAAAACACTTTCCTGTCTTATATCCATTTAACAGATGAGAAAATTAAGGTCTAGAAGCTACCAGCTAGGAAGCAGAGAGCTGGAACTTGACTCAACTACAGTTTCAGTGCTCTTTCCATGACTCCCTGGATGCCTGCACATTGATTTACTGTTTTAACAGAGCATGTCTGAGACCATTTAGCTCGTGATC